TTCCGGGAGTGTTGGAAAGGAGTGTTTATATATATAAACTATATATATATTTTTTTTTTCCACCGCGCGTTGGCAGCGCGCGAACGTCAAGGTTGCGTTTCTCTGGCGCCTCAGCGACAGCAGGGGCGAGGATCGCGTTGGGCTCAGAAGGGGAGGCCCTTTCTCGGGTGCCGCTCGCGACGCCCAGGTCGGGGGCCCGTTCGGGGGCCGAGGCTCCTCGCGGCAAGACGAGTATCTTCTTTCCTTTTCGCGCGATCTTCGCGGTAGCTTCCAATCGGGCATGTCCTTGTGTAGGAGGAAGGGTTCAGGGACCATCCATCGATTTTGTTGGTTATGTATGCGAATTGTTTGATGTTTTCCGAGACTCCCATGTAGGAGGGCATGCCCGACCGAATGGTAGCACGATGGTCGCGAGGGGTACGTGGACATCTTGTCCGGGACCGTGACATCCCCTCGGTTTCATAGCCCCACTCTTCTTTTGTGGTCACGCCCCCTGGCTTTCGCTTGTGCTCTCAAGCTGCCGAAGCCAGGCTGGGCCCCTTCACTCTTTTTCCTCGGCCCCCCCCTCGTCGGCGCAGACCAGGGGAACGAGGAACTATGGGGTGGAATACTGTTACAGTGGAACCCATGCCAACAACCACCCCGGTTGCATCCAGGGCGTCCTGGGTTTTAGGGAGTCCGGTGTCCTTGCCATGGGAACCGTGACGCTTCCACGCCAAAAATCCATGGACGTTTTGGCGTCTCAGGGTTGGTTGTTTGCGGAAAGGTTTCTTGTGGTCGAGATCTTGTTGTGAGAACCTGCGGCAACCACCGCATCCGGGCGGGGGAAAACATGGCATGACCTTCTCCATCCCGGTCCTCCCGCACCATTTGCTCTGGCCCCATATGGGCGGCATCCACCGTCTCCCCCAGGGCACCCCCTTCCCCAGGGACCCCTCCTCGCTTCTCCCCGCCGAGGCCCGCTCCCCTCCTGGGCTCCCCAGGAACCCGGGCCCCAACCGACCTCTGCTGGTCAGGGCCGGGGCCTCCGAAACCCCGCGCGCGATCCGATTCGGTGCGATTCGATTCGCCGGCCAGGGCCGCGATTCCGATTCGGTTCGATTCATGTCGGTTCATTGTTTTTGATCGAGGCCCGCCTGCGCCAGGCGCGGCGATCCGATCTCGATTCGATTCTGGACGATTCGCTGGCGATCCCGTCCGTTTCCGATCCGATCCGGCTTCGCGATCCGATCTGGCTCTGCTCTGCCAGGGTGGCGTCTCGCCCTCCTCCCTCCCGTGCTCTCCTGGGGTTCGGTGCCTGGCGCCCTCCAGCGTTTCCTTCTGCTGAACAGGCTGTGCCATGCTATACTATACGGTAGTAACTACCGTATAGCATGGCGCAGCCCCAACGAACGCCCACGAACTACTAGTTCGTGGGCATTCGTGGAGGGCGGATTTCGCGAAGAGCAGGAGGAGGCGGAGGAGGAGAAGGATGAGGAGGAGCAGGAGGAGCAGGAGCAGGAGCAGGAGCAGGAGGAGGAGGAGGAGCTTGAGCAGGAGTAGCAGGAGGAGGAGGCGGAGGAGGGGCAAGAGGAGGAGGAGGAGGAGGAGGAGGAGGAGGAGGAGGAGGAGGAGGAGCAGGAGCAGGAGCAGGAGCAGGAGCATGAGCAGGAGCAGGAGCATGAGCAGGAGCAGGAGGAGGCGGAGGAGGGGCAAGAGGAGGAGGAGTAGGAGGAGAAGGAGGAGGAGGAGGAGGAGGAGGGGTAAAAGGAGGAGCAGGAGCAGGAGGAAAAGGAGGAGGAGGAAGAGGAGGAGCAGGAGCAGGAGGAGGAGGAGGAGGAGGAGGAGAAGAAATTGGCATTTGATGTGTGCGCAGGGGGTACGCGAAAAGGTACGGTAGGTTCGCGTCGTGTCGACCAGTGGCGACCCTGCAGCTGGCGTTCCACGTTGAACGCCGCCAGCGACCCAGCATCGGCCGATGTTGCGCGATATGATGCTTCGGAAAGGGCCGATCGTTCAAGCTTGAGCGACCCCCGCTGAGTCAGGACCCGACGCCGAAGTCGGCACGACACGAACTCGCCGTACAACAGGTGGGCGGCTCGAACATATAGAGACGACCATTTTTTTATTCAAGAGGCTTACAGTGGAAACCAATGCCAAGAGACACCCTGCTTGCCTCCAGGGTGCCCTGGGTTTCTTGGGTTTGGATGGTTTTGCAATGGAAAGCCGTGACGCCCCCACACAAAAAATCAATGGACGTCCCAGGGTCTCAGGGTGTTGGGTTTCTTGTGGAAGGTTTTCTTTTGGACGAGCTCCTGCTGTGCGCCATTCTCCTCGCAGCCACAAGGGCTGAAAAGCTATTTTTTGCTCCTCCCCACTGCCCAACGAAACCAGCGCCAGGGCCACTCTCCCTTCCTCGGCGGCCTCGGGCGCATTATGTGGCAAGCGCTGCGTGAGCCGCTCCTAGGCTGTGCTTTTGTCACAGCCGCCGCCATCGGCCTCTCGGGCGCATAGGGGCCACATGCGAACACTACCCCTCCCCTCAAAAATCGTGGGGGGTAGGGGTAGGGTTCGCATGTGGCCCCCTACAGGCGCCACCCGCTCGTCGCTGGGCCTCGCCGGGACGGCGCCATCAGCGCAAGAGGACCGGGCCGAGGTCCACGCGGAGGCCTGTGCCGCGGGCGGCGCCGCGGGCGCCCGTGCCGCGGGGCCCAGCGGGCCCGGGGCCCCGCCCGAGCGGCGCCGTGGCGAGCGGGGCGGGCACTGCTGGGCACTCTGGGTGCGGGGCGAGAACCAGTCCAGCCAGATCGTGGACACCAGGGGCAGCACCGCGGTGGGCCCCGCTGCCGGCGCGGAGGTCCCGGCCCGGATGCTCTGCGCGGAGGAGCTCACGCGGCGCGCCCTGCTGTCCCCGAACTGCGCGGAGGGGGTCTGCGCGTGCACCCAGCTGGGTCGCACCAGTTGCTCGTGTCGTGCGGTCATGGGCGCGTCGCGGGCGCGGCTCGTGCTGAAGCACGCAGAGTGGCTCTCCGACCACGGCCACGCCAGGGGCGCGGAGGTCCGCTTCCAGGAGGCCAGCCGTGAGGCGGCGGAGCACGGCCAGGCGTCGGGCGACGAAATCTATACATAGTCACTGGTTCCTGGCCAGGCCCATTCTGAACCCAGGAGCTGTGTGTACACATCGCTGCTGTTCAGGATGGGCCTTGCCAGGGAGCAGCTGTTATGTATAGATTTCGTCGCCCTCAGGCGGCGCTCGCACACAGAGCCTCTGCGCGGTTGGGGCACCTCCTCTCGAGGCGGGGCCGCTTCGCGGAGGCGCTCGAGGCCCTCCTCGAGGCCCAGCGGTTCGGAGACCTCGCCCTGGAGGAGGAGCGCGATCCGGCCACGCCGTGGCTGCTCGGGGTGGCTTGGTTGCAGGCAGCAAGATGCGGCGCGGCGAAGTGGCAGGAATCGAAGCAGAACAGACTGCATAAACAGAATCTCTTGGGCGCTCCGCGCGGATTTCTTGCATTCGCGCTGGGCCCCCCTAGCGGTGCCTCCGGCGCTGCCCCTGGCGCGCTCCGCGCGCCAGTGAGGGGTGCCAAGCGCAGATCCAAGAAATCCGCGCGGAGCGCTCAAAAGAGTATGTTTATGTCGCTGTGTTTTCTTATAAGGAAGCGGAAGAGTGGATCCTTAGTTTGGGCCCGCTCGCGGCGGACGGGCTCGACGCGCAGCGCCAGAGGCTCCAGACGGACATCCGTTTCTGGCGGGCCGCGGAGCTGTCCCCGAGGCGCTGCGTAGACGCCGGCGATGTCGCGCACGCGCTGATCTGCTTCGGGAGCCATTTGTTCTACGCCGTGACGCGATAGTGGCAGAGGAGGGGGAGCTGGGAGTGTTGGACGGAGGGGCAGGGACGCTCAATATCCAGCACAGCGCTGCTCCAGACCAACAGGAGTGTCGCGACAGGATCCGCTGGCCGCGTGCATTTGTAGTTTCCGCTCTATCTATGACATCTGGCAGTGAGTCGTCAGCCCTTGCTCATTTTGGTTTTGCTGTGGACAGCCAGGGGGGCTGGGGCTCCGACTTGTTCTGTCGGGGTCCTGGCGGGCTCACGTAGAATAGTCATTGGGTGCTTCTTTGGGCGCCCAGATTCTATTCACTTTGCCCCAGAGTCTCCTCCTGGTGTCCCATCCCGCTGACACGGCTCAATGCCTACGTCGGTTGATTGCTCGGATAGTCAGGAACTATTTCGGCACAGAATAGGCTTGCATAGCTTCAGCTTAAAGATTTGTAGGTTGAGCCCTTCTCGTTCTGGTGATCTCCAGTGAGTTTCAAGTTCAACCATGGGCTCTTCCCAGGTTGCTGTGGAACGTCGTCATCATGAGGCCCATGATGTATCTTTACTGCCCAGCACGCAATCCGAAACAAAAATTCGCCTGGCGAAGAACCCAACCATCTGCAGTTGTGAGCATCGTCGTTGTATTATAGAGCCTGGAGGGTAGGCCTACACCAGGCCGACCCCTCGACCTACCCCCCAGACCTACCCTAGGCCTACGCTGTAGGCCTACCCTAGACCTACCCCTAGGCCTTTTTCCCAGGCCTACCCCCAGGCCTACCCCGTAGGCCTACCCTACGCCTACCCCGTAGGCCTACCCTAGGCCTTCCCCCTAGGCTTTCCCCCTCGGCCTTCCCCCTAGGCCTCCCCTTGGCCTATCCCTAGGCCCACCCCCTAAGCCGATCCTTACTTCCTATGATTAAACACTCCCACATCCCCACCAGCCGGCCGATAGCAACCCCGGCGTACGAACTGTCAACAAAACAACACTAACTCTTTTTTTTTCTCGCCAACATGTCGTCGAGTTGCGCAAAGTGTAGCAGGAATCAAACAGAATGAACATCGCTTGGGTAACCCTAAGCGGGTGGTCGCGTCCTACCCATCAAACAACAATGCAAAGTCAACGGTGCTCTCGTCAACGTGGGTTTTCTTGTCGTCGACGCTGCGAAACATGTAGCAGGAAAAGGACGCGGCGCACATCGCGCGC